GATTTTCAAATGTCCATTTTATATAAAATCAGAAATGCAAAGTACACAAAAGAGTGTATCAAATGATTGAGGGACTGGGTCACACTAAAGAAGGGGCTTAAGACTATTCAAGAAACACGGCCTAAACGTGATCAGTGTTTACTGGCCCAGAAAGGGGAGAGGAGAGACAGGAAGAATGTAAAAGTGTTACGTGTGTTCCTGTTGTTCAGTACACAGAATCCAGGACTGGTGAATAAGGGTCTCGGGGGAGAGCACGGTGGGGGTGGGGTAGGAGGGGAACGATGTTGGGGAGTCCAGGAAGAAAAGGAATGTTTGGAGGTGGTTTGTGGTAGCAAGTGTACAATTCTGCTTGACATGATTGAACTTTAAAATGATAGATGTATGAACTCCCAATTAATGATCTTTTTTAAGTTGAAGGTTAAAAGGATATAAAGGAGAAAGTAGATGATCCAAAAAGATGGCTGCACAAAGCAATTTGAGATGGGAAGGGGAAGCTAAGTAGCTTAGTTGGAATGTGGGTTTTGAACAGCTAAGACAATTTACCAACTACGAGAGGTAACATCCATCACTTACCTCAACCCACCGTAGAACAACTCCTTGTAGTCAACATTTATCATGCTTATGTTTTGTTCTGTGAGTTTTTCAACAGATTGTAACCGGCCCACATGCTGGAAACCAGGAGCTAGATACCTAACATAGTCCCGATCAAAGGCAGGCAACCAAAAAATCTATAATGAAAAACAGTAAGTTCCTCAGTGGCTAGTCGTCTCTATGCACAGTCTCATGGAAAACAGGGGACGCCTCACACTTGAGCACTGGCCTAAAGGAAGTAAGAGTGACTCTGGCCTTTGCTGAGAGTCAGCTGGCCAAATACTGTCTAATAAGTTCTCATAATGGGAACACTATGGGATACGTTCCCAGCTCTCCAGAGTTCTTCTAGAACTGAGGTTTTTCAGGACCACCCTACCCAGAGTTAACATCATGGGTCAAGGGCCCACTGTTTGCAGAAAGTCTCACAGAGGGATACTATTATGATTCACCTGTACAAATAACTCATAAGATTCTATGAATTGTCTGGAAAATTGTAGAGAGTTGCTTCTCAAAAATATGAATATCTGCTCAAACATGAGCTAGTTGTCCTTTCTACATGATTCATCAAAGGCACGTTCTCAATGCCTTAATGTTACTCAGCTTCTTTCTGATAGATCTATGTTAGCGATGGTGCAGGTCACAACACAGGGGCATTACACGCATGCCTCTTTCACAGGTGTCAATATTTCATTTGATTTGGGATAGTAAATGGTTTACTTGCTACATAACTGTCATTCTGTGATTGCCACATGCAGTGCATAAGCAACGATGTCTATTTCCATTGATCCCACAGCCATCAGGTTAATTCCGACTCAGTAATCCTACAGAAGGGAACATATCTGCTCTGAGGGATTCTGAGACTGCAAATATTCTCTCAGCCCACTCTTCACCCACTGCCCCACCAGGGCTTCCACAAAGCAAACTTACTCTGAGCTCCAAGGAGAATCCACATGGTCGGTCAAATCCAGCGACTATGCTCCTAGAGATGCCACCCACTTCCCAATCTCTATTATAAACACTGAGGTAGACATACCAGATGTGGATCCATTTTAGAGGCAAGGATCACGCTTACTACCACGCTGACATATGAGTCTCTGAGAGGGTGCTTGCTGGGAGGGCGTGTAAGATCAAATATCACTTTCTTTTTTTCCTTTCGTGCAAGATCCAATAAATGACGTAGTTTTGGAATTTTCTGACTTCTTGCTTTTTCATGATCAGCCTCTGATAGGGGTTCCATTTTGTAAAATGGTTTGTCCTAAAAATAAACAAATCCACCAGAAAATACATTGGCTCCCACCAAAAGCAATTCCTGGTTCTTCTGCTATGTAGTCCCACATCCAGTTCTCCTTTCTTCTTGCTCCACTGCCCTTTAACCCACCACGCCCTCTGAAATGCTGGTTATGCGAGTTCAGAGTTGTCATAAAGAAAAATGAAATGTAATCTCCATAAGTGACTTTGGTATTCAGAATGATTTCTCCCATATGTTAGAACATGTTGCATCTGCACTGTCTGTCGTCCGCGTTCTAGTTCTGACCTTTTCTTCTATAACTCAAGGTAATACGCCCATTTTCAATTTCATTAGATTCCCACATTTGCTCTCATTATTCAAGCTTTTAAGTAATGGAGAGAGGATAGGTTTGGGCTTCACGTTTAACTGGCTTATCTTTCATGCCACAGCCATCTGTTAAAGTCCTAGCACAACCTACAAAGCTATAAATGGAACTTCCTTCATGAAGTCCTCCTTGAATATAAATAAAATAAAAATGGTATCAGTGGCTTTAAACTTCCATGGCCCATTGTTATGCAGCTTCATTGTACACCTAATTCAGCCTTCTTTAATTACTTGTCTAGAATCACTTGTCTGTCTGTCACACTGAGGTGGCTTGTGTGTTGCTGTGATGCTAGACGCTCTATCACTGGCATCTCAAGTACCAGCAGGGTCACCCAAAGTGAACAGGTTTCAGCAGAGCTCCCAGACTAAGAACAGACTACAAAGAAGGAATAGGCTGCCCGCTTCAGAGGAATTACGCACTGAAAACCTCGTGAATGGCAGAATATAGTTAGATATGGTGCCAGAGATGAGCCCCTCAGGACAGAAGGCACTCAAAATGCAACTGAGGAATAGCTGCCTTCTCAATGTAGAATCGACAATAATGACATGGAGGGAGGAAAGCCTTTAAGATCTTCATTTTCAAAATGAGAAAAAAAACAGCTGCAAACATCTGTTAATTATTTGAACTTGGAATGTATAAAGTATGAATCTAGGAAAATAAAAAGCTGTTAAAATGAAACGGAACACATAAAGATCAATACCTTAGACATTAATGAGCTGAAATGGACTAGTTTTTTGAATCAGTCAATTATATGGTTTACTATGCTAGAATTTAGAAAACAGAAACAGCAATAATAGATAAAAGAAAAAAAATTATATAAAAGAGAACCCAGCACAGAATATTAAGAACAAAGAAACTATTACCATGCAAAATTAGAACAAAATGGCAGCAATGAATTGATACCTATTGCTAATCATACCAAAAGTAAATGCATTAAATGCACCAGTCAAAATGAAGAGGGTGGTATAATGGATTAAAAAAACAGAAAAAAAATGACCCATCAATACAGCATCTACACCTTAAATACAAAGACATAAATTAATTAAAAATAAAAAGATGAAAAAAATATATACCCAGCAAAAAAGAGCAGGTATAGCAATATTAATTTCTGGGGGGAAAGGGAAAAGATCACATCAAAATCCATTATCAGAGGCAAAGGACATTATATAATGATTAAAGGATCAATTAAACAAGAAGACATGATAAATATTTATGTACCCAATGCCAGGCTCCACGATAGTTCTATTATAATAGCAGATTTCCACATATCCCATTCAACAATGGGCAGACAGAGAAAAACAAACAAACAAACGAACGATAGAGGAAAAACTAAACAATACTATCAATCAGCTCAACCTCACAGACCACCCAACAGCTGAAACATATTCCTCTGTGATGCACATGGCCCATTCAAGCAGAGA